GATATTAAGAAGAGGTGGCAAGAATGCACAGAAGAACTGTACAAAAAAGATCTTCACAACCTAGATAATCACAATGGTGTGATCACTCACCTAGAGCCAGACATCCTGAAATGTGAAGTCAAATGGGCCTTAGAAAGCATCACTACGAAGAAAGCTAGTGGNGGAGAAATATCAATAACCTCAGATATGCAGATGACACCACCCTTATGGCAAAAAGTGAAGAAGAACTAAAGAGCCTCTTGATGAAAGTGAAAGAGGAGAGTGAAAAAGTTGGTTTAAAGCTCAACATTCAGAAAACAAAGATCATGGCATCTGGTCCCACCACTTCATGGCAAATAGATGGAGAAACAGTGTAAATAGTGGCAGGCTTTATTTTTTTTGGACTTCAAAATCACTGCAGATGGTGACTGCAGCCATGAAAAAGATGCTTACTCCTTGGGAAAAAAGTTATGACCAACCTAGATAGCATATTAAAAAGTAGAGACATTACTTTGCCAACAAAGGTCCGTCTAGTCAAGGCTATGGTTTTTCCAGTGGTCATGTATGGATGTGAGAGTTGGACTGTGAATAAAGCTGAGCACTGAAGAATTAATGCTTTTGAACTGTGGTGCTGGAGAAGACTCTTGAGAGTCCCTTGGACTGTAAGGAGATCCAACCAGTCAGTCCTAAAGGAAATCAGTCCTGAATATTCATTGGAAGGACTGATGTTGAAGCTGAAGCTCCAATACTTTGGCCACCTGATGTGAACAGCTGACTCATTTGAAAAGACCCTGATGCTGGGAAAGATTGAAGGTGGGAGGAAAAGGGAACAAGAGAGGATGAGATGGTTGTATGGCATCACTGACTCAATGGACATGAGTTTGAGTAAACTCTGGGAGTTGGTGATGAACAGGGAGGCCGGGCATGCTGCAGTCCATGGGGGTCACAAAGAGACAGACACGACTAAGCAACTGAACTGAACTGAAAGTTGTCTTTATGTTAGTATTTTTTTAAATACAGTAGCTGTAATGCCATGCAAATTGCAGCCTTTCAGTTCAAAAATCACTTTAGATATGTAGCAATATAGATCTCATTACCTTCTGGTAATGACCCTTTGACATAAATGATGAGTCCAAAAGAAATGTACCAGCTAAAGCTTGAAGGGGTGAAGGGTGAGCTTAGAAGGTGGTAGGAGAACTGGAGGTGGGAGGTGGCAGCTGGTAAGGCCTGCATTTGACCTTAAAGATGATCTCAAAACTTGTGCACATTACTTTTTGTTGCACAGAAAAGTGGAGAAGAATGAAGTCAGCTCATTTGGGGAAGATGGGGGAATATGAGAAAACAGATGGAAGAATACCTTAGCTTCTTAAGTCCAGAAATGTCCATCATTCATCATCCTCCCCCAGTCTGCTCAATTTTGCCCTAGAAATGACTCTTCAGCCTGCTCCCCCTTCTCCCTTCCATTCTATTGTTCATCTTCTCTCCTTGATTAGTTTCAGTCTATGACAGTTGTGCCCCACTCCCTTCACCCTCCACACTGCCCAGAATTATCTTCCTAAAGGAGAAGTCTCATCATGCCACTCCACTCCTTGCCTTAAAGAGCAGATCCACTACTGGATCCACGTGTCTTCCTCCGGGGAGGCTCCTGGTTCATTTCTTTAGCTGCTGAGCTGCTCCTGCTCAGTCATGTCCGTCTCTTTTGTGACCTCATGGACTGTGGCCTGCCAGGCTCCTCTGTTCATGGGATTTTCCCAGGCAAGAATACTGGAGTGGGTTGTCATTTCCTACTCCAGGGGATCTTCCCGACCCAGGGATCGAACCCACATCTCCTGCATTGGTAAGAGGATTCTTTACCACTCCATCACCTGGGAAGCCTCATTCCTTTACCTGCTATACAAAATCATTCACACCCTGTTCCAGTCATCCTCTTCAGCCTTCTCTCTCCTGCCCTCTACCCCCACAAACACCTCATAATAGGATGTGCCTTGCCTTTCTCTCTCTCTGGAATACCCTTTCCCAACTTCTGCCCACCCTTCAGAAAAATTATCCTCAAATGTCCCCTCCTCTGGACAGCCTGCACTGACTCCATCCCTCCCCCAGCCAAGCTCTGGGAGTCACTTTGTCTTCTGAGTCATACCTCTATTATAGCATTCCTGGAATCATAATACCTCTTCATATGTCTCCTCAACCATACGAGGAAGGCAGGGGCGATATTAATTCATGTCTGACTTCCCATTGCCTAGTATAGTGATTAGCACAAAACAGACATGGATAGATGGATGGATGCATGAATGGATGTTAACTTCGATGAATGGATGGAGAAGAGTAGTAAGAGAATTTAGGAGAAGTAACCCTGAGAAGATCAAAGAGAGACACCAGAGGGAGCTGACATACCACAATAAAGAAGTGGGAGGGAGGGCCAAAGAAGGCTACAAGCTCTGGGGTGAGCGGCGCGCAATAGGCGAGCATCACGCAACTGGAACCGCTCACCCACCTGTGCATCCCCTTATCCTCCTTCCCAGACTGCGTTCGAGCTCACCCACCGCCCCCACCATCCCCGTAGGCTCCAACTCCACTGAGAAAGCAAACAAAGGGGAGGGAACCCCTGCAGGGTGCTGGATGCAGGGAGCCAATCAGAATGCTTTAATCTCCTGGAAGGCGGGCGCCTTCGTTTGAGGGGGCCCAATCAGTTCCTAAGCGGGTGCGGAGGGGCGGAGAGATGGGCGGGAGGAGCAGGGTGTAGAGACCGCGCGCGCCGGGGAGGGATCCTTTGGCAGGGGTGGGGATGGAGGGCGGAGGGGGCCGGATGGAGCCAATCACGGCGCGTGTCTGTGAAGAGAGGGCGGGCAGCGCCGTGGCGCGCGCGATCCGGGCTGACGCATCTGGCCTCCGTTCCCCAGGATCCAAGTTGGGAGGGGGGGAGAAGAGGCGGGGGTAGTGGAGAGAGCGCGGGGGCGCGCGTGCGCAGTGGCGCGGGGAGGAGCAGGGACCTGGCAGCGGGCTAGGAGGCTGTGAGCTCTCCGCGAACCGGGCGGGCGGCGGGCGCGCGCACCATGGGGGAGAAACCCGGGACCAGGTAAGAGAGGTGGGGCCATTCGGCGGGACGTGGGCGGCGGCACCGGGCGGGTGCCGGGACGGTCCCCAGACAGGAACACCACGGAGAGAATTCGGGGGCCGGACGCCTGGGTCCGTAGGGGACAGCCATCCGGGGCCGCACGCCTAGGTCCTCGAGGATAATGAGGGGAAGGCATGCCACAGCCCCTGTAGAAAGCGAGGGCTGAAGATCAAGAAATCTGCATCGGGGTTCTCGCAGAGATGTGGGGGGCCGGACGACTGGGTTCTCCGGTGCAGCCTGCGTTGCAGGGGCGGAGGAAGGAGCAGGTGGCCGGCCCGGAGGGGACGGGTGTGGGCAGGCTAGATGCTAGGGGCGGGATCCCCCCCAAGACTCGTGCCCAGCCACTTGAAAGCCTCCTATCCAATACCCCACAGGCAGTCGGGCTGCCCCCACCGGTCCCAAGGGCCGGGTGGCTATGCTTCCAAACTTCTCCTTTCCCCTGGGTTGCTAGGAGCAACAGCTTCATTTTGGGGGAGCAAAGAGTGCTTGGCGACCCTCCCCAATTCTGGGCCTTATCCTTATTCCTGGGGGTGAGGGGAGGCTGTATCTGCCCAGGGCACGCCATCCACTCCCCGGATGTTTTCTGTGCAATCGAGGCTCCTTCCTTCCACTGACACCCCGAGTTCTCTTTTTTGGTCTCTAGCAAAATCCACTTCCTGTTGTGACCCAACACCTCCGGGGGTGAATGCCTGAGTCTCTGGGGAGCAGGAACAAAAGAGGAAAAAGATTGGGGCTATTTGCTTCTCTCCAGAGAGGATCAGGAATGGGCGCCTGGTTCTGAGCTGTCACTTGTTCTGCAAAACATTTTACCAGCCCCACAGCTCCCCACCCATAGAGTAGGAAATCACAGGTTCCTGAGCACCCAGTCGACTGATACTGGAGAGGTGATCAGAGGGAGGACTGGTGTCCTGGATTAGGGGTTAAACACAGCAAAAGGGGAAGTCGCTGACTTGAGGGAGGCCCCAGATTTCCGTTATGTGGTTCAGGGAGGGGGACGGATGGACCACACGGGGACTGCTGACTTGGCACAATTCCTCCCACCTCCATCAAATTCTGGGCCACAGGAAATGGAGAGAATAGCAGGAAGTGTGAAGGGGCATCTGCTTCTGCTGCCCCCCTCTCCCCCCACCTGCCGGGCACCTCTCAGGTCACCCCGACACTCCGCCTTCTTGGCCAGCTTCAGTACACACATGCCTGCTCCTTCCTAGCCGGCAGGAGGTTGGCTGGGTTAGGATCCAAAGGGCAGGTGCCCTGCAGCTGCTTCAGGGCAATTACTCCAGAACCACACTCCAGTTGTCCAACGGACTGTGGCTGTCCCGACCCTCTGCCAAGGACTCCTGATAGGAAGAAACACTGGGACAAAAAGGAAAACCAGAAGCAAGGGGGAGGGAGAGCTGAAGGCTGCCACAGCAGTCAGCCCCCAGGTGGGGACAAGAGATAGGGTGCTTATCCTAGTTCCCACCACACCAGTGTCTGTCCTCCTTTACTGGATGGGGGTACCTGGGGGCCTCTGTACCCTATGCCTTATGGTCTTTGGATAGCTTGGCATTCTGGGAAGAAGGGGCATGTGACGTTGTTACAGTGGATGGGCCAGGTGGCAGGATTTCAGTTTCTACTACCTGGGGACCCTTCCTGGGTATCACTGCTGAGGCAGAGTGGATTGGTAGGAGTAAGGTGGGGCAAGAGAGAACAGGCCCACAAGTGTCCAGGGCACAGGGGTTGCCAGACATCTCCCTATCCTCCCAGCAGTGGGTGGAGTCCAGGCTTAGACCATTTCAGCAACCAGAAAGCGAACTCTCCTTCACTCCAACAAACATAATGCCAAGAACAGAGGCAGGATAGTACAATCATTTAGTGATGAAGAGCCAGAGTACCTCTGTCTGTACCCGAATTCCACCATTTACACTCTCCGTGACCTCAGGCAAAATACTTGACTTCTCCTGGGCTTCAGTTTCCTCACCTGTAAAATAGGAATATTAGGACCTCTATCACTGGGTTGCTAAGAGTATTAAATGCAATTAACACACCTGAAACACTTGCAACGCTATAGGGCATGAACTGTTCACCCAATAAATGTTAGGCAGCATCATGGTGTCTGGCTTATGGCTGGGAACTGTGCTGGGGACGCCTAAATCAATAAGGCCTCTGTTGCCCACAGTCTAGTGAAATAGATGATACACAGCTAACTGCGCGTTATCACACTACATGTGTGCTAAGTCACTCAGTCGTGTCCAGTTCTTTGTGACCCCACGGACTGCAGCCCACCTGGCTCCTCTGTCCGTGGGATTCTCCAGGCATGAATACTGGAGTGGGTTGCCATGCCCTCCTCCAGGGGATCATCCCCACCCAGGGATCGAACCCTTGTCTCTTATGTCTCCTGTATTGGTAGGCGGGTTCTTGACCACTGGCACCACCTGGGAAGCCCTATGACACTACAGGTAAAGCATAAACAAGGTGTGACAGAAACCCCAAAAAAGGGAGTGACTAGAGTGGGCCTGGATCTACCTTCTAAAGGAGGTGACATCTGAGCTGGGCCTTGAAAGACAAATAACCTTTTAAGCTGCTGAGATCAGAGACAGGGATAGTTGGAGGTTAATGGAGAGCAGGGTCACACTTAGGAACTGCCCATAACAGAAACCAATTTAGATCCATTGCTCTTTCCAGTACTCCAGCTCTTGTGGGAGGTGGAGACCAGAGATGGAAAGAGGGAGAGGTCTTATACAGACAACCTGCAACCTGCCCATTCAGGTCCCCCTGGAGGAGATCCTCAGGGAAGAGCCTGAGCGGTTCCTCTGGCAACCTGAGGCCATTGCCAGGGGAGGAGGGGAACTAGTGAGGGTGGAGCAAGGGGGTTGCCATGTTGGGTATATTAACAGCTTGTGGTTACCTGTCCTTCTGGGGAGAAGTGGGACAGGGTAGGGCTCGGTAAAGCCCCAAAGCCTCCAGGTGGGAATCTCAGGTGAGCTCTGCCTTCTCAGGCTGGGGAGGGACGAGGTCCTGGCACCAGGGTCTCTGCTGAGTCTGAGGCAGGCAGTGGGGTTTCCCTTTCTGTTTTGTTAGGGTCTTCAAGAAGTCGAGTCCTAACTGCAAGGTGAGTCTCCCACAGCGCTTCTCTTCCTGACCCTCCCTGGGCCCTCACAAGGCCCGGCCTGCCCCTAGACGATCCCCAACCCCAAGCTCCCCACTTCCTGTGACAGCTAAGAGCCGACTTCCTTCCCTCCTGAAGCCCCTGGCCGCAAAGGCCTAAGCCAGCCACAGGGCTGGGTGGGGACAGGCTGGTGTCCTAAGTGAGACTAAGGGGGAGGGGCCAGAAGTCCAGGCCTGGAGCCCTCATAGGGGCCAAGCCAGGATGCCTCCCCCAGGCTATGGCCTGTTTATCCGAGGTCCTTGAGGGCACCTGGTGAGGTTCTCGAACTGCCTGCCTCGGGCCAGGTTCTCCTGGACACACAGACACACCCACCCACCTGGAAACCGTATTAGGGAGCAGTTAAAAAGCCTCAAGTTCAGCTAGTCGGGGGAAAGCCCACCACTCTCTTCTTGCAACTCTACAAAAACCCAGAGAAACTCCTTCAGAGACCCCCAACCTGGGAGGCCCAGGGGCAGGGCAGCCACTTTTGAGGGCTCTGAAGCCCTGCCAGCCCCTACCCAGTCTTCCTGTGACCCCTCTGCATCCTCAGCTCACCGTGTACCTGGGCAAGCGGGACTTTGTGGACCACCTGGACAAAGTGGATCCTGTAGGTAAGTAAGACTGCCCAGAAGGGAGCATCAAGTCCCCCGAGACGGGAGGCAGTTCCTGGGCCCAGGAATGGAGGGGAGGCCCTGACAGAACTGCGCTCCTGTGTCCCCTTCCCCAGATGGCGTGGTGCTAGTGGACCCGGACTACTTGAAGGACCGCAAAGGTACCGGCCCTGAGGCCAGGGGCCTGAGGGAAGGGAGTCAGGGAGGCGGGGCTGGCACTGGCATGGGCCTCAAGGAGACAGGCGGGGAGCCGCGGCGAAAGCCAGGAGTGGGGTGAGGTTCAGCCAGGTGCTGTGCTGCCGAGGAAGGAGCAGCTGCTGCTACGAACTGGGGGGACTTCGGGAGGGGGGCTCCTGACCACCCTGCCTTGCCCTCCCTTGCTAGTGTTTGTGACCCTCACCTGCGCCTTCCGCTATGGCCGCGAAGACCTGGACGTGCTGGGCTTGTCCTTCCGCAAAGACCTGTTCATCGCCAACTACCAGGCCTTCCCCCCAACGCCCAACCCACCCCGGCCCCCTACCCGCCTGCAGGAGCGGCTGCTGAGGAAGCTGGGCCAGCATGCCCACCCCTTTTTTTTCACAGTGAGGATGCCCCCACCCTCTGCAGAGCAAGGGGTCCGGGACTGTGTTGGGGGGCAGGGGTGAGGCACCTGTTACAAGAAGGTCTAGGAGTAACACTGTGGGACCCTAGACCCCCAGACCCCTTCAGAGTCACCCTGCACTCCTAGCCTCTCTGCCTCCTCCTTGGGGCCCCCTCCGTTTTCCTTTCTCATCCCCAGGAGTCCCTCTCCAGCCTCTTGAGATTGAGAGGAAGATTTGGGGACTTTCTGGAAGAACTGAACTCCTTTCCTTCGCCACAGATACCCCAGAACTTGCCCTGCTCCGTCACCCTGCAGCCGGGCCCGGAGGACACCGGGAAGGTAGGGGAGGAACAGTCCAGCAGGAGCCAGGGGCACACCTGAGGCGGGCTGGGGTGCTGAGGAGACAGCAGGGTGGGACTCAGGGCAGGGAAATATGGCCCGTGGCGGTGGCCCTGTGGAATGGGCGCTGTCCCCTGTCCCCGGGTGATACCGCCTCCTGCTCTTGACCTGCTCATAAGGGTAGAAGGGCTCACCTTGCACAGCCAGGACCGAGCCCCAGCCTCGGGGAGGCAGAGGCCTTAGGCTAGAGGCTAGAGGCAGACCCAGGCCCTAGGCTCCTCAGACCCAGAGTCCCTGCCCAAGGCAAGGGAAGCAGGAAGGAAGGGAGTGGCGGTGGCGGCAGGGACCTTGTGTAAGATGTGCCCTTTTCTACCCCCCTTGAGGCCTGCGGGGTAGACTTTGAGATTCGAGCCTTCTGCGCCAAATCACTAGAAGAGAAAAGCCACAAACGGTGAGGGACGCAGCCCCCCTCGGGCCTGACCTGGACCCCTGTGGAAGGTGGGAGCCAGTGTCTGACCCCTCACCGCTCGCCCCCTGCCCCCAGGAACTCTGTGCGTCTGGTGATCCGAAAGGTGCAGTTTGCCCCAGAGAAACCCGGCCCCCAGCCTTCAGCTGAAACCACACGCCACTTCCTCATGTCTGACCGGTCCCTGCACCTTGAGGCTTCACTGGACAAGGAGGTGGGGTGGGGATGCACGTGCTGCAATGCAGGCCCTGGGGGGAGGGCTGGAACCACAGGGCAGGATGGTGTTTTCAAAGGAGGCCACCTTAGCTGAAGGTGGGCTTGGGTACAGGCTGGGAGGAGGCCCAGCCCTGTGTGTGTATGGTGGGGGTGAGGAGGGGGTCGTGCTAATAATAAGGATCAGTGAAAACACCCAATTAACCTGACCCCTCCCCTGAAAAGCTATACTACCATGGAGAGCCCCTCAATGTCAATGTCCACGTCACCAATAACTCCACCAAGACTGTCAAGAAGATCAAAGTCTCTGGTAGGAGGTGGGGGTTGGAAGGGGGCCTTACGGTGGGGGCGGAACAGTTTCTGCCAATGTGGCCTCAAGCATCAGCTCAGCCCCAGGACTGAGCCCACTTTGGGAGACCCACGGGGCTCAAAGACTTCAGGCTGTCTGTCCCGGGATGAGATGGAGGGGCAGTGCGGGTCCTCAGAGGGGCCGGGGCCCTTGCCTGGGTCTGGAGCTAAGTAGGGGGTTGTCTGTACCCCATGCCCAGCGGCTTGGCACCTGGCCCCTCCCCCCCACAGTGAGACAGTATGCCGACATCTGCCTCTTCAGCACCGCCCAGTACAAGTGCCCCGTGGCTCAGGTCGAACAAGAGTGAGTAGCAGAACAGCCCTGGGAAGGGTGCCCCGGGGACGTGGGGGTGTGGGTGGTTCTTCCCAAACGGTCTCTACTTACAAGGGCATTCCCTCCAGTCTGAGGGTGGCTCTGAGCTGCCCGTTTTCTTGAGCAGGTTGGCCCAAAACCTACTCCCTGTGACCCGTGCCCGCAGAGAGGAGGGGCTGGTGGTGAGGGAGAAGCCGCTGGAGGTGGGAGCTGCCCCTCGCCCGGCCTGCCCGCTCAGTCTCCCTCTCTCGCCCCCACCCCGCAGTGACCAGGTGTCGCCCAGTTCCACCTTCTGTAAGGTGTACACCATAACTCCCCTGCTCAGCAACAACCGGGAGAAGCGCGGCCTCGCCCTGGACGGGAAGCTCAAGCACGAGGACACCAACCTGGCATCCAGCACCATGTGAGGGGGCGTCGGGGGTGGCTGCAGCCCGTTCTGTCCCCAGGGCCAGGGCTCTGTCACTGAACAGACCCCAAACACCTCTCCCGTTCTCAGGGGGAGGCCAGACAAATCAGATACAGGACAGAATGTGTAGTGCGTTTAGTGACAGGTGTTAAGGAGAAAAAGCAAGGCCGACCTGGGAGATATAAAGGGGGAGGGTGGTGGGAGGGATGGGGAGACCTGACCCAGAGGTGGATTCTGGGTGAAGATGCCAAGGGGGTAGGTGATGTGGATGTGCAGGGCAGGAGTGCTCCAGGCAGAGGGTACCACAGGCACAAAGACCCTGAGGTGGACCCCCGGGTGTCTGAGGCAGGCCCTCTAGGGCAACAGCTTCATAAAGTAGGGGCTGGATTTCCCCCCTACCCGCCCCTCTGTACACGACCCCATACAGCAAGCCTGGAGGCCAGCCTGGGAGCCAGAAGTGGGGTGAGAGGGCTGATGGAGAGCAAGACAGTGCAGGGTGGCTGGGTTGCAAGGACTTGGGCTTTTACTGAGAGAGGGATGAGAAGGACCACAACAGGGTACTTTACGTGACATGAGCGTGCTGGTATCTGTAGTCCTGCCTCCTCACGGGGGCCCCAGGTGGGCAGTGGGCTCTGGTCCAACCCCTTCCCCCAATTGCAGCGTAAAGGAGGGTGCCAACAAGGAGGTGCTGGGGATCCTGGTGTCCTACAGGGTCAAGGTGAAGCTGGTGGTGTCTCGAGGCGGGTGAGTGCTGGGCTGGGGGGATCCTGGGGGTGGGGAGGCGGCGCAGAGGTTTCCTCTGGCTCTGTGCTATCATCTCTTCTTGCCACCTCTCCCCCAACCCCAGGGACGTCTCAGTGGAGCTGCCTTTTGTTCTCATGCACCCCAAGCCCCATGATCACATCGCCCTTCCCAGGCCCCAGTCAGGTGAGCCTGCCACCCACCCAAGCCCCCAAAGGGAGGGTCTGAAGCAAGGCCAGCGGAGAGGAAAGCTGGTCCTTTTAGCACCCACCTACCCCCCGACTCTCCTCCCCTCAGCTGCTCCTGAAACAGATGCCCCTGTGGACACCAACCTCATTGAATTCGATACCAAGTAAGAGACTCATGCCCCATCCCTTTGAGCTTTGGCTCTCTGGACAGATTCCTGTAACATTCAGATCCTCCCTATTTTTTTCCCTTTGGGAGGCGGGATGGTTGAAGCATGGTTGAAGCATCCCATTGAGAGGCTCATGAGCTGCCAACTACCACCCCTTCTCTGTCCCTCTGCAAACATCTCCAGTCCCAAGGCTGCTCCGGTGCCTCTATCTCTGGGGGAGGGGACTGGGAGGTGGAGGAGGAGGCGGCCTGGGGCCCCCACCTCACCCCCTCCTCCCTACCACCAAGCTATGCCACAGACGACGACATTGTGTTTGAGGACTTTGCCCGGCTGCGGCTCAAGGGGCTGAAGGACGAGGACTACGACGACCAGTTCTGCTAGGAAGGGGGGCTGGAAGAAGGAAGTGGATGGTGGGGGGACAGGTGGGGGCAGGACCAAGACCCCCACTGTCACTGAGAGGGATCCCAGCCCCTCTTCCCTTCCCCTCCACCCAGCAGCTTCCTTGACCAACCCCTCCTTCTCCCACCCTCCCCCAACCCCCACCAGATACGCACTGGACCCAGCTCTTGTGGAACATGGGCATTAATTTTTTGACTTCGGCTGTGCTTCCCCAATCCCCCAGTGGGTGGCAAGCTGTGTTCACACCTCAGTTTTTTGGAGGGGGAGCCAAAGAGGAGTGATAGTAGGAAAAGGGGGGGAAAGCACTCCCACATTCAACCTCACACCAACACCCCCTCCTGTCACTATCTCTGCCTCCCATTCCTTCAGGATGAGACCCTTTGGGGGGCAAGACCACTTCGTTGTTTCTGAGTATAAAGAAGAAAATAAACCTTTTAATAGGCCTGAGTGTGTGTTTTCTGTGCAGTGTTTAAGGGGCATGCAGTGTGCTCGTCCATGACGGTCAGCTGTGGGTGAGGACTGAGTCCCTTCTCTGCACCCACGTGGCACCTGGCCCAGAGGCTGTCAATAAACATTTACAGAATGACTGATCTGTACCTGTGCCCCAAGGTGAACACAGAAGCTTGATTTGGTCAGTCCCAACTCAAAGGTAGTTTGATAAAGCCACAGAGCAAACTCTCTCATTTACAGAGGGAATCACAACTCTCCCGCAGACTAGATGCTTGTGGGAGCTGGGCAGGGCAGGCCCGTCCCTGCTGGGGCTGACGCACACAACCACAGGGTGACCTGTTGTGCCTGAGCTGTTTCCACCGCTCTGTGGGACTGCTTCCACGGTCCATTCCTGGGGCTCGATGGGGCCACAGCTGCAGGCAGAAGCCACATGACTGACATCTCTGTGCAGCCTGGTACTTACACTGTCACACAGAAGCCAAGGCTTCTGACAGCCAAAGACAGTTGTGCTGCTGTGGACAAGTCCAAGAAGCTACAGCCCACTGCTGCTCCTCTGACGCTTGTCGGGGACTCCCAGAGGCTTGGCCCAAGCCCCTGGCTGGGCTGGAGGGAGGAATGATACTCCCGACATCCCTCACCCCCACCACCCACTCCCATTCCTGCAGTCCAACCTTCCTTTTTCTCTTAAGGCTCATTCATTCGTGCCATGAACCACCTTGATTTAAACCCCCATCATGTGCTAAGCATAGTACAGGGATGGCAGTGGTCAAAACAAACTTGAAATCATTACAGTATCTGCTCCGAAGGAGAAATGCAGCAGCTAGGGAGCCCTGACTGAGGCGAGGGCTGGAGACTGATCTCCCTGGAGGTGGTGGTGACCTTGGAACAGAGCCCTGGAAGATGAGGAGGAAGCCAGTATCCCAGGCAACAGTAACACCATGTGTGAGGGCAGCGGGAACAGAGCACATTTCAGAGGCTGAAAGAGGCCACACGGACTGGGACAGAGACATCCGGGGGTAAAGCAGTTCCAGATGAGGCCTGTGAGGCAATGGGGCCCCTCCTACCAGCCTTTAGTGGCTCAGTGGTAAAGAATCCGCCTGCCAAAGCAGGAGATGCAGGTTTGATCCCTGGGTTGGGACGATCCCCCTGGAGGAGGAAATGGCAAGCCATTCCAGTACTCTTGCCTGGAAAATTCCATGGATAGAGGAGCCTGGCGGGCTGCAGCTCATGGGGTCACAGAGTCAGACAACGACAAAGCATACATGCACGCACACGGCTCATGAAACCTAATTAAATCATGATTTACCCACAGGCTTTAAGTGCCCCCAGAATGCCAGTGACCTTGCTTACCTCTCCACAGTAGCAGTCTATTTGCACACCCTGGTTGTCTTCACGTGGAGGAACCGCCATCATCCCTCTGACCCCTGGGAACCTGCTCCTTGACCTCGGAGCTCTTGGCCTGAGGACCTCACAGCTTTTCAGGTGACTCCAAATCCTCTGGGGTGCACGATAAAGACACGGAGTCCTAGGCTTCCACCTTCCCCGATTCTGATTCAGTTGGTCCCAAGAAGAATCCATGAATCAGGATTGTGAATTAGAACACAGCTTGAGAAACAAGGCCTTTTTTCTTTTAGCTTAAAAACATTTTTAATGCTTTTAAGAAAGTGAAACATGCACATAGTTTTTAAAAAAAAAAATCCACAGGAAAGCAAAGTCTCCCTCCTGTCCTTGACCCCCAGCCTCCCATTTCTCATTCCCAGAGGCAGCCAGTATCACCAGTTCCTTGATTATTCTTCCAAAGACATTCTTCAGACACAGTCATACCTGTATAACCTATATTTCTCCCTTATTTTAAAAACAGATAATAGCAAACAGCTAGTACAGGACATGGAACAACAGACTGGTTCCAAATAGGAAAAGGAGTACATCAAGGCTGTATATTGTCACCTTGCTTATTTAACTTAATATGCAGAGTACATCATGAGAAACGCTGGACTGGATGAAGCACAAGCTGGAATCAAGATTGCTGGGAGAAATATTCATAACCTCAGATATGCAGATGACACCACCCTTGTGGCAGAAAGCAAAGAAAAACTAAAGAGCCTCTTGATGAAAGTGAAATAGGAGAGTGAAAAAGTTGGCTTAAAGCTCAACATTCAGAAAACTAAAATCATGGCATCTGGTCCCATCACTTCATGGGAAATAGATGGGGAAACAGCAGAAACAGTGGCTGACTTTTTGCGGGGGTGGGGGGGGGCTCCAAAATCACTGCAGATGGTGACTGCAGCCATGAAATTAAAAGACACTTACTCCTTGGAAGAAAAGTTATGACCAACCTAGACAGCATATTAAAAAGCAGAGACGTTACTTTGCCAACAAAGGTCCATCTAGTCAAGGCTATGGTTTCTCCAGTAGTCATAAATGGATGTGAGAGTTGGACTATAAAGAAAGCAGAGCACAGAAGAATTGATGCTTTTGAACTGTGGTGTTGGAGAAGACTCTTGAGATTTCCTTGGACTGCAAGGAGATCCAACCAACCCATCCTAAAGGAGATCAGTCCTGGGTGTTCATTGGAAGGACTGATGTTGAAGCTGAAACTCCAAAACTCTGGCCACCTGATGTGAAGAACTGACTCATTTGAAAAGATCCTGATGCTGGAAAAGATTGAGGGCAGGAGGAGAAAGGGACGACAGAGGTTGAGATGGGTGGATGGCATCACCGACTCAATGGACATGAGTTTGGGTGAACTCCAGGAGTTGGTGATGGACAGGGAGGCCTGGCGTGCTGTGGTTCATAAGGTCGCAAAGAGTCGGACATGACTGAGCACCTGAACTGAACTGAACAGCATACTATGCACTCTTCTACACCTGGCTTTTTTTCCTTAGTCATGCGGCTAGAAGAGCATTCCTTTAGCAATCTATATACATCTATCTCATTCTTTATTTTCATTTATTTATACATTTGGTTGCATCATGCCTTAGTTGAGGCACATGGGCTCTTGATTGCAATACATGGGGTTTAGTTACCCTGTAGCATGTGGGATGTTAGTTCCCACACATCTTAGCTCCCTGACCAGGGATCAAATTTGGGCCCCCTGCACTGGAAGGCAGATTCTTAACCATTGGGCCACCGTGGAAGTCCCTAGATCTCCCTCATTTCTTTAAAGAGTCGCCTGGCTTCCACTGCCTAGATGTCATTTACTTTTCAGTTGTCTATCGATGAACATGAAGGATGTCCACTCTTGCTAATTCAAACACTGTTACAATAATTATCCTTGAAGATATGTCTTTTTTCACATGCAAAGTGCATATGTAAAACAAACTAATAAAAGTAGAATTGGCGGGGGAATTCCCTGGGTGTGCAGTGGTTAAGACTCCTCGCGCTTTCACTGCCGAGGGTCCGCTTTCAATCCCTGGTGGGGGAACTAAGATCCCACAAGCCGCAAAACACGACCAAAAGAAAAAGTAGAATTGGTGGGTCAAAGAGGGTGAGCATCAATACTATATAAAAAACAGATAACCAACAAGGACCTAATGTATAGCACAGGGAACACACTCAGTGTCTTGTAATAACCTAGTATAATGGAAAAGAATCTGAGAAAGTATATATAGGCTTTGTAGGTGACGCAGTGGTCTACCTGCCAATGCAGGAGAAATAGGTTCAATCTCTGGGTTGGGAAGATCCCCCGGAGAAGGAAACAGCAACCTGCTCCAGCACTGCTGGAAAATCCCACAGACAGAGGAGCCTAGCTTGTTATAGTCCATGGGGTTGCAAAAAAGTCAGACATGACTTAGCAACTAAACAACAAGGATATAGGAACTTCTCTTGTGGTGCAAGACGTAGCCCCAAGGAAGTATACATATAAAAAAGTATGTATATTTTTATATATGTATGTATATTTCAATTATATACACTTTTCTGTACACCTGAAACTAACACAACATTATAAATCAACTACACTCCTATAAAATTTTTTTTTTAATGAGAGAAAAAAGGGTGAGCATCTTTTCAATTTCTGGGTCAAGAAGCTCCCCTGGAGAAGGAAATGGCAACCAACTCCAATATTCGTGCCTAGAGAATCCCATGGACAGAGGAGCCTGGTGGGCTACAGTCCCTGGGGTTGCAAGGAGTCAGACACAACTTTACCAACTAAACAGCAACAACAAGATTGTTGACTACATATTACAATTTAAAAACTCATGAATTTTAAATTGTAATATGTAGTCAAGTACAATCAACTTTTTTTAATAGCTTCTGGGTTTTTTGTCACAAAACTCTTGCCCCTTTGGCTTTCTCACAATTTAACACTTCCTTTTCTTTCCAGATGAAACTTCAAGATCATCATATCAACCACCATCTCAGCGGCTTCAAATGTTCCCCCTTTCACAAAACCTACTCTCAAACCCCACCCTTGGCTCTGCCTAACCAATACCTCACCCTTCGCTCCAACACAGGGCTGCTGAGGCACTGCCAGAGAAAAATTGCACAACCACAGTTACTTGTTCATTCATCGCATTTTTTTGGCCATGCTGTGTAGCATGTGGGATCTTAGTTCTTCTCACCAGAGGCCCCTGTGCTGGAAGTCCAGAGTCTTAACCACTGGACCGGGGACTTAACCACAAGTCCTTCAACAAATATTTTTAACACATCCTAGGTGCCAACACTGGGCTAAGCGATGGTATGGACCTGGGCCACTACAAACTTAAGGCTTCTGACCTCAGCTGGGCCTTCAATACCTGTTAACTCCCAGTCCCCCTCCCCTCCATGTCCCTGGTCACCTCCTTTCTCCTTCTCCCACCCTACTCACTAATTTTCCAAACCTTTATCACATTCAGAGTGATTTCTCCCCCACTTTTCACAGAGATTAGGCTCTAAAGGATAAATGAATCCCATCTCCTACTGACAAGCACCGACACTGTTTCTCCTACACCACATACCCCCTCCTGGGCCAGGCTAATCCCTCCATCTGTGCTCAGATCACTCCCCTCCCAACTCCTCTGAGACCCTGATTCAGCAAGACGCCCCCAGCTCTTCAACCTCCGCCTCTCTCTCTACTGATTTTTCCTCCATGGTAAATAGACTCGCACAGGTCTCTTTCATTGAAGGAAGAAAGGGAGAGAGGAAGGGAGGAAGGAAAGAAGGGAGAGAGAAAGAAAGAAAACCAAAGGAAAAAACATTCCTCCACACTTGGGACTCTTTCACAGTAAAGTATTTCTCGAGTTTTTCCTCTCTCACTTTTCACGTTCATTTAATTTTTATTTTCAAAGCTGTATACTCACACAGTGGAAGGAGTCAGATACAACTACAAGGCCTATCACAATAAAAAGTAAGCCTGTTCCCTCTCTCCAATTTCCTTCTCCTCACAGGCAACCACTCTCACCTCATTTAGATGTTTCTTTTGGTATTTACTCCGTATCTCCAAACAACATGTTTATTTTGCTACTTCTTTATGCTTCCTGCCATGTAAGGTGAAGTCTGAGCCCCTTTCACCATCCCCGCTGCTCCAGCATGGGATACTCTCTCAAGAGCATTCTGTCAACATTCAGGATTTATTGCAAATGTTATCTGGAGCTGCAGTATGTGGTATATTGTGATTACCCTTCTCTACTTGCACAACTGTTTTCCCTGAACAACTGTCATTTTTAAAAGTTGCTTATTCTCTGAATTTATCATTAATTCTGCACTATATTCTCCTCCAAAAAATCTATGTATCCTCTCAATTCATTTTTAAAAAAAAAAAAAAAGAAAACCCCCAACCCCCTGAAAAAAAAAATCTCTCCAAGAGCCATCTAACTTGGGTCTAACTCTAGTCACCTCCCGAGCAGCATACTTGGGAGACAAACTTGAGACCCTGTACATATCAAAATGTCCTTATTCTGTCTTTGTTATTCATAGTTGAGCTGTTGTGACAGCCTAGATATCCCCCAAAATCTAATCTATTCTCCCATGGTGCTAGAAAAATATTGATAGTCAACCACCTAAGTAAGGAGTGGATTTCTCCAAACCCTGGAGCTGATGTGAGACCACATGACTGAGTTTTCTTCAAAGGAATGTGAGTAAAAATTACATGGGCCACTCCCTAGCCAGACCTCAGAGACAGGTGTGCCTCCTCTATACTTTCTCTTCTGCTTTCCTGCCAGCTGCGATCCATGGATGGCAGCAATCCAGTTATGACACTGCAGACAGCAATGCCCCAGAGCAGTGTTTCTCCATGGTTACTGGGCACACAGAGCATCTGGGGATCTTCAAACACAGATACTGATGCAGTGGGTCTTGGCGGGGCCTGAGAGTCTGCTTTTCTAACAAGCATCTAGGTAATGCCAATCTTATGGCCTGAAAAAACAGATTTTTTTAATTAATATATTTATTTGACTATGCCGTATCTTAGTTGCAGCATGTGGGCTCTTTAGTTGTGGCATGTGAACTCTCAGCTGAGGCATGTGGGATCTAGTTCCCTGACCAGGGATCGAACCCTGGCCCCCTAAACTGGGAGTAAGAACTACTTGGCCACTGGACCACCAGGGAAGTTCCATGAAGACCATACTTTTGAGCATAAGAGCCTAAAGGATGGCAGAGTTGCACTGCTAGCCTTGGTCTCTGATTTGTGGAAAATACTGAACTACCCACAATGAACTGTTTTCTGAGAAAAAATTAAGTTCTGTTTGGTTGAGCCACTGCGTTTTTAGCCTCCCTGAAGCACAGCTTCAGTAGAGAACTGCAGGCTGGAAACCACATTTCCCCAAAATGTTGAAGGCACTGCTCCACTGGTACAGTGTTACTATTCAGAGGCTCAGTGCCATTCTGATTGCTGATCTGTTCTTTCTCTGGAAGCTTTTGCAAGACCTCCTTTTCTGAGACTAGTGATCTGACATTTTATGATGTGCCTTGATGCTAGCCACTTAATGAGCCCTTTTCATCTGAAAACACAGGTCTGTTCCTCCCCTTTACCTTGTTCTCTTACAGAATTTAAGCCCCTGGACTGATTCTCTAATTTTCTCACTTGCTCTTCAACCTTTTGCTCAATGTATTCCTTCCCTCATGGTTTTATTTTAAACTGTGTTTTCTTCCATTCAATCCTCTATTATAATGTGTGCGTGATAAGTTGCTTCAGTCGTGTCCGACTCTTTGTGACCCTATGGACTGTAGCCCGCCAGGCTCGTCTGTCCATGGGATTCTCCAGGCAAGAATACTGGACTGGGTTGCCATGCCCTCCTCCAGGAGATGGAACCTGAGTTTCTTAAATCTCCCGAATTGGCAGGCAGATTCTTCACCACTAGCGCCACATGGGAAGCCCCAGTCTCTTACCTAATAGCATCAATGTTTTCTTCCTTAAGTTTTACCCTTTGTTATCTAAGGTGTTTGTTTATTTGTTTTCCAGTATATTTTGGTCTCTGCCTTTCAGGTTAGAAAGTTTCAGCAAACATCTGGAAATCCTTTGTTTTAGATCTTTCATCTTTCTTAAAAAAAACTACATATTCTTGTTTCAATATTTATCTGGCTGCGTCGGGCCTTACTGAGTTGGGCATACGGGATATTTCGTCATGGTGCATGGGCATTTCACTGCAGCACACAGCCCCACAGCTCATGGGCTCAGGAGTTTCAGCACACAGGCTTAGCTGCCCCATGGCACGTGGGCTCTTAGTTGCTGATCAGGGACTGAACCCACGTCCTCGGCCCCAGAAGGGTGATTCTTCACCACTGGACCACCAGGAAGTCCCAGTCTGCTCATCTTTCAGGGGGATGTGCTAAGAAGATGACTAGAAGACCTCAGGATACAGTTGGGACTTACCAACTGTGGGTTTCACTGTTGGGTGATCCAGCTAACTGCTCTGTTGGAGAACCCCTGATGTTAATACCCTTAGGTCTTTTCTCTGAATAGTCAAATTCCCCAGGTAAGAGTCTTTTAGTCTCTGACCTGGAAGGTAGAAGCCTAGTTGTCAGAGTTCTAGAAACCACCACTCAGTAAATAACTCACTCAATCTCTGTCTTTAATACAATCATACCCAGGTGCCCTCCATGAGAAAGACTCTGTTTTCCATCACTAGCAAAGAAACCTCCAGCAATCTGATGAGTTGGGGGTGAGTAGTTGCTGAGACACATGAAGTAAAGGAGGAGGTGGGGGTGGGGGGTCTAATTATTTCAAATAATCCTCCTAATTTTAGTACTACCTACATTCCAGCTAAAATGGACTGGAATGGGTGAAATTTAACTCAGACCATTATATCTACTACTGTAGGCAAGAATCCCTTAGAAGAAATAGAGTAGCCATCATAGTCAACAAGAGTCCGAAATGCAGTACTTGGATGCAATCTCAAAAACGACAGAATGATCTCTGTTCGTTTCCAAGCAAACCATTCAATATCACAGTAATTGAAGTCTACGCCCTGACCAATAATGCTGAAGAAGCTGAACAGTTCTACGAAGACCTACAAGACCTTCTAGAACTAACATCCAAAAAGATGTCTTTTCATTATAGGGGACTGGAATGCAAAAGTAGGAAGTCAAGAGAGACCTGGAGTAAAGGGCAAATTTGGCCTTGGAGTACAGAATGAAGCAGGGCAGAGGCTAACAGACTTTTGCCTAGAGAACTCACTGGTCATAGCAAACACCCTCTTCCAACAACACAAGAGAAGACTCTACACACGGACATCACCAGATGGTCAATGCCAAAATCAGACTGATTATATTCTTTGCAGCCAAAGATGGAGAAGCTCTATACAGTTAGCAGAAACAAGACTGGGAGCTGACTGTGGCTCAGATCATGAACTCCTTATTGACAAATTCAGACTTAAACTGAAGAAAGTAGGGAAAACCACTAGACCATTCAGGTATGACCTAAATCCCTTATGGCTATACATTGGAAGTGATGAGTAGATTCAGGGATTAGATCTGATAGACAGAGTGCCTGAAGAACTATGGATGGAGGTTTGTGACATTGTGCAAGAAGCAAGAAGCAAGACCATTCCCAAGGAAAAAAAGTGCAAAAAGGCAAAATGGTTGTCTGAGGAGGCCTTACAAACACCTATGACAAGAAGAGAGGAGAAAGGCAAAGGAGAAAAGAAAGATATACCCATTTGAATGCAGAGTTCCAAAGAACAGCAAGGAGAGATAAGAAAGCCTTCCTCAGTGATCAAGGCAAAGAAATACAATAGAATGGGAAAAACTAGAGATCTCTTCAAGAAAATCAGAGATGCCAAGGGAACATTTCATGCAAAGATGGGCACAATAAAGGGCAGAAACAGTATGTACCTAACAGAAGCAGAAGATACTAAGAAGAGGTGGCAAGAATACACAGAAAAACTGTACAAAAAAGATCTTCAGGACCCAGATAACCACGATGGTGTCATCACTCACCTAGAGCCGGACATCCTATAATTCAAAGTCAAGTAGGCCTTAGGAAGCATCACTATGAACAAAGCTAGTGGAGGTGATAACCTCAGATATGCAGATGACACCACCCTTATGGCAGAAAGCAAAGAAGAACTAAAGAGCCTCTTGATAAAAGTGAAAGAAGAGAGTGAAAAAGTTGGCTTAAAGCTCAACATTCAGAAAACTAAGATAATGGCATCTGGTCCCATCACTCCATGGCAAATAGATGCGGAAACAGTGGATATAGTCGCAGACTTTATTTTGGGGGGCTCCAAAATCACTGCAGATGATGACTGCAGCCATAAAATTAAAAGACACTTGCTCCTTGGAAGAAAAGGTATGACCAACCTAGACAGCTTATTAAAAAACAGAGACAATACTTTGCCAACAAAGGTCTGTCTAGTCAAAGCTATGGTTTTTCCAGTAATCATGTATGGATGTGAGAGTTGGACTGTAAAGAAAGCTGAGTGCAGAACTGATGCTTTTGAACTGTGGTGCCAGAGAAGACTCTTGAAAGTCCCTTGGACAGCAAGGAGATCGAACCAGTCCATCCTAAAGGAAATCAGTACTGAATAGTCTGATGCTGATGCTGAAGCTGAAACTCCAATACTTTGGCCACCTGATGTGAAGAACTGACTCATTGGAAAAGACCCTGACACTGGGAAAGATTGAAGGCAGAAGAAGAAGGGGATGACAGAAGATGAGATGGATGGATGGCATCACTGACTAAATGGACATGAGTCTGAGTAAACTCCAGGAGTTGGTGATGGACAGAGAGGCCTGGCGCGCTGCAGTCGATGGGGTAGAAGAGTTCGACAGGACTGCGCGACTGAACTGACTGACAGCCCAGCTGCACTGTAATGCCATTGATTTAGGGGTAAATCAAGTTGCTTCTAAGCTTTGTTCACTGCTGCTTTAGTTAACCATATGACTTTCTGTTTTCCAGTTTCTATCGAAAGTTTTGCTTTTATTAATAACTCCTCTCTTTCCTTGACCCCTTTCTTAAATCCCCTTCTTGTACAGGATTTAGAAAAAGAGTGAAGTTAAATGCTAGATCCCTCAAATTTAACTAAAAGCCTCCACTCGCTTGCTAACCCTGGGCAAACCGGCTTCATTCTCAACCTTCCCTAAACTGTCAAGATTGATCTTTCCTGAAAGGAAAGATCTTTCCTTTATTTTGCCTTCAAAATAAAGTTCAAATTCCTTAGCTTGCAAGCCATTTTCTGGTCTGGCTCCCCACTCCGATCTCCCCAGTCACACCTAGCCACCAACCACGCTGCGTTCACTCCAGTCAAACTTACTGGACTTCCAATGTGTCGGCCCCTCAGAGCACTACGCGCTCGCTGTGCCTTTCCCTTCTCCACTTCAACCTCTCAGCCACCTGGTTAAGCCCCAAATGCAGTTCAAGCAACATTTCCTCCTAACATTTCCTCCTAGAATCCTTTCTCTGTTCCTAGAAATACACCCTGGGCGTATCCCTAATAAAGCACCTATCCAGTCTCACGTGAGAGTCCACCTCACTCACCTTTGTATCCCCAGAGCCAACCACATAATAAGCAATCAGAGAGGGAAACGGCTGACAGGAGCAAGCGCCTCAGAATATATTGACAGTCCGTGTTTTAGCGGAGCTCCGGATCAGAGGGAAGCGCTGCGGCGAATGTCACACTCACCAAGTCGTTTTCCCCGGGCCCCGATAGGTGGCGGAGTGGGATAGGCAGACAGAGGGTCCATGGCTGTCCAGTCTGTAATACCCCAGAGGTCCTACCATCATCACCTAGCACCCGCAGACGCTCAAGAAATTCTTGTAGAAGAAATTAAACAGACCACAACAGTGTCGTGAAGGTAGACAGGTCTGAATGGCTTTAAGCTGGAGATTTTCCGATACTCCGTCTTACCACAGGTGGTCACGCGGTGGGGTCGCGCAGCAGGGCATGCACAGGGGACCCTGGTAGTTGTAGTTCACCAGGTGAAACGAGACGGGAAAGACCACGCTGAGCATCCTGGGAACTGTAGTGTTGGCTAAGGTGCGCCCTCTGCTCAGGCGCAAACCGACAGTCATTTCCGGGCGCTTTTCCGTAGTATTTCTCAAAAGAAAACCCCAGGGTAACGATGGCTACCTACAGCCTGGCGAACGAGCGACTACGCGCCCTGGAAGACATCGAAAGAGAAATTGGAGCCATTCTTCAGAATGCAGGTTCGGGATACGACGACGAGAAGGGTAACGGGCGCGAGAGCAAGCGTGACCGCTTGCACATGGGCGGACCAAATGGGGTTGGAAGGGATCCTAACTGGGTGTAGGGGTGGATGGGGCTGGCCCTGGGGCGGGGCTATACTGGCGGTCTCCGGATAGCCCCGCCCGCTCTCCACTCTGGCAGGTACCGTGATCTTGGAACTGTCCAAGGAAAAAACCAACGAGAGGCTCTTAGACCGACAGGCAGCGGCCTTCACCGCGTCGGTGCAGCACGTGGAGGCGGAGCTGTCGGCTCAGATCCGCTATCTCACTCAGGTGTGTTTGGTGGGACGTGCTACGCTCCTACCCCAGCTCTCTGCCTTAGCCTTATTCTTCAAGAGTACCGGGCAGGGCTTTGGTCCCCGGAGCCAAGCAAGACCAGCCCTACCCAGCAGGCCCGTCGATCCTGGCAGCATCCCTCCCTTCCAGGACAGGTTTCTTGTGTCACTGAGTTGCATCACATGAGCCAGTGGATGGAAAAGTCCTGGGAGAGGTCATCTAAACAATACGAAAGCTATAGGATTTGCCCTTAGACATTTGACCTGATCTCAAGTGTATAGCGCCCCAGATGGCTACTTCATAAGAAAAGGAACAGGACTGAAAGGGTTCTGAGGTTATTAAAACAGGAAGCACCATGTACTAAACTTGTACAGTGTGCTAGACATTCTGCATTATCTAATCCTATAACAACTCTGAAAAGTGAAACTGTTAGTCTCTCAGTTGTGTCCGACTCTTTGTGACCCTGTGGACTGTAGCCCGCCAGGCTCCTCTGTCCATGGAATTTCCCAGGCAAGAATACTGGAGTGGGTAGCCATTCCATTCTCCAGGGGATCTTCCCGACCCCGGGTCAGGATTGAAGCCGGGTCTCCTGCATTGCAGGCAGACTCTTTACCATGTGAGCCATCAGGGAAAACCATAACAACTCTAGGAAGTAGTTACAGTCATCCCCACTTGACAGAGGAGGTTAATAGAAGTACAATGATGTGCCTTAGGTAATCCAGCTAATCTTCTGGCATAGCAGATTTAAACTCAGGGAAGAAATGAGGCAAAAGACCAGATGACTTGTTGGGGAGATGGCAGAGGGAAGGGGTGCTTCACTGATCCATCTGAATGTCCTGTAGGTGGCCACAGGGCAGCCCCACGAGGGCTCCAGCTACTCTTCGAGGAAGGACTGTCAAATGGCCCTGAAGCGAGTGGACTATGCTCGCCTCAAGCTCAGTGAGGTGGCCCGAACCTGTGAGCAGATGCTGGAGAACTAGGCCAAGCCGGTGAACAGCTTGGAGGGAGAGCTCCACATACACCCCAGAGCAGAATCTGGAGAGTGTGGGCTGTCCTGTACCTGCCATACTGGTCAGAGGCCATGAGGACAAGGGTGCAGAAGGTGCGAAGGAAGACACTTAGAGACCAAGCCCATGCACAGCTGTGCCCTGGCTCCTCCAGCACGTTGCTCCTGCCATGTGCTTCACTGAGTATGGACAAGCTCAGACAGGCGATGGAGACTTAGACACCCAACCCACTTCCTCATGTCCCTGCCCCAGGCTTCCCGCAGACTTGGACCAAGGAAGACACATTTTTGGTTCACTGAAAAAGACAAAATGAGAACTAAGGGTTTTGCTAATAAAAATAATAACACTAAAACAAGGAACTCAGACTCTCATTGGGGCATATATGGTGATGTAAGGGGTAGAGGAAGTAAAACCAGGCTGCATGGCAGCTGCTGAGGAGGGAGGGTGGAAAAGCCCAGGCCTTTACTGTGGGGTCAGGGCAGGAAGCAGGAGAGGGTGGAAGCTAGGGAGGAACACTGGTGTGGTGTGAAGTGACAAGAGCAAGATATACGGGTCATGGGACATGGAGGCTGGTGGGGGTTGGGAGGAGATGTTGAGGGGGAAGACGCCAGGTGGCCACCAGCAGAGAAGCTGAAGCCAAGAATCAGGCATGATTAGGGGGCAAGGGCATAAGACCCATGTCTGCAGAAAGAAGAGCCAAAAATTATAAAAATAAGTTTTAGTAGTTAAAAAATATGGACTGTATACAAGACATAAAATAAACAGTGATTTTTATATCATGGTATAGAAGAAATCCAAAAGAACAGAGGAAAGGTCTAAGGGAGGTCAGTGGCTGGTTAGTTGTGAATTAAACACTGACCAATAAGTAAAGAGTGTCTGCCATGTGCCAGAAATTGTTCTAGTATATTAATTGATGCTGAATAAATCATAATCTACCCTCAGAAGATTCCATTCTGTGCACTGGTTCATCTGTTGCAGCTGTATAAGTATAATGAAGCTTCAGGATCTGGGAAAGATAAAGAAATTAACAGATGAGCTCTGAGATCAAGGGAAGTTGGGTAGGGTATTAGGGGCAAGGGGTGACAGCTTAAACTGGGGAATCAGAGTCCAAAACATTAGCTATAGACCAGGTATACAGCAGGTGCTCAACAGTAAAGATCTGTGAATTGAATGAATGGCTCCCACCTTCCTCCACAGCTTCATCTCCCACTAGTCTGCTCTAGCTGCCATCTTGATGTTGCTCCAAGCACTGCCTGGCTTCGAGGGCTGGCCCCCGGGCCTGTGATGGCGTCCCTCCCTCCCCACTCTGTAGTCGGGCTGACTCTTCACTCATCGCCTGTGTTCCATGGTGCAGGCATTGTCTGTATCTGTCTCTGTGTCTGCCTGAGAGCTACTGCTGGCAGAATCCCTGCCAGGGAGGCTCTGGGTCCCTGGAGGAGGGGTTCAGAAGCCCAGTTTACCTGGGGGATGCTTCAGGGACTGCTTCCTCCTCCGCTTGCACACCACGTAGAGTAGGACTCCAGTGAGGAGGAAAATGATGGCCAAGAGGCACAGCACAGGCACCAAGGCTGATGTCCCAGCTGCAGGACCCACTTTTTCTTTCAGCTGCTTCTGGTTCTCCCTAGCCTCAGGCTCTGCCCCCAGACTGTGGCCCGAAGTGTATGTGGTAGTTTCATGGGTGGGGATGTGATTGCTGTCCAAGGACAGTGCTCCTTCCAGAGGGGTGGGTTGCTCGGTACGCTGCAGGGTGGATGGCAAGTACGTCCTGGAAGTGGTGACTGTGTCTGTGGGCTCAGGAAGCTGGGTGCTGCGAAGAGGTGCATCCCCGTGGCCAGCCACCACCCTAGCTTGAGCATGTCCACATTCTGAAGAAGCAAGAAGTGAGGAATCAGGGCTACAAGGGGACAAGGTGAAGAACTAGATAAGAGGGCAGGGTAGCGGGTCAAGGAGAACATCAAGGGAACAGCTGAAGGCCAGGAAAGGAGGGTAGAGGGAAAATATGGGGAGATGGAAGTGAGCAACTACAACATGGAACCCCTGGGGCGATCATGCCCTGGAAAGTCAGGAGACCCTGGTTAGAACCCAGACTCTGCTACAAAGTAGCTGTGACCTTGCCCCTTGTCTCCTAACCTCTCTGGGGTTCATTTCTTTTAGCTGTATCTTAGGGATAATTTTAGTAACAAAGGCCAGAGTAGCCAGGAAGAGTAAATGAAATCAGATAGGTGCTGGGACCTGGAAGAACACTTGGTGTTTTAATGGTTGTGTAATTATTTTAGGAGTAAAATACAACCAGCATATCAAATTTGTGACTTCACAGGTGCTCCTGTTTAGGACAAGTTGCCATTAAGTTTTTCAAAAGTGGCTGTATACACTTATTTATTCATTTTGTTGTTTTAAAATTTTACCTCAAAGGAACAATAAAATACAGAACTCAATCCTTAATAATATACATGGTGAAATGTCTGGGAATAAAATATAATCAAGCCTGCACTTACTTGGAAGTGCACCAAAAAGATATTAGGCAGATCGATGAGGGATAGAGGGATGCATAGACAGATGGGTGGGCAATAAAGCAAATATAGTTAAAATGCCTTAAACTCGATATTGTAAAATATGAAATAAATTTGCTTTATTATGGACATATATAAAATACATCAAATATAAAAATCAAACATTATAGAATTAGGTGGTGGTTATATGGATGTTCACTGGAAAAATCTTTCAATTTTTGTACATGTCTTCAAATTTCCATAATAAAATTGTTCTTATTGTTTAGTCATCAAGTCATGTCTGACTCTTTTGCAGCTCCATGGACTGTAGCCCATAAGGCTCCTCTGTCCATGGGATTTCCCAGTCAAGAGTGCCATCTCCTTCTCCAGGGGATCTTTTCAACCCAAGGATAGAACCCACTATCTCCTGCAATGGCAGGTAGATTCTTTACCTCTGAGCCACTGGGGAAGCCTCCACCATAAAATACTGGAACATAAAAATAGTGCCTTGATTTCAAGAACAACATTAAGTAAATGCACAGTGATAGGATGCATTGGCAAAAATCATGAAAGTGATGGTGAAGCATTTATGGTAAACAGGAACTTAAGTCAAAGTATACTGAAGAGGAAAGGGCTGAGGCAAAGAAGGGTGTAAGGTGGACCCACGGAGCCCTGGGGACAGGGCCTGGGGAAGAGGGGAAAGCTCTCACCTCCACTATCAAAGCAGTGCATCAGTTCCTGAACCCAGCGGTCAGTGCTGCCTCCACATACATTTCTGTAGGGTAGCTGGAACCTGAGGAACGACCTGGTCTCAGATGTGTCCCCGCTCTCTGCCCCACCCCGCTATTCTCAGCTCTTTCCTGGTTCCAGAAGTGAGGTCACTCCCGAGCGTCAGCAGTTTCTGCTGGGACTGGGAAATTCCAGGTAGGTGGGACAGGGGAAAAGGGAAACTGAAGGTGCAACGAATTAGGGCGAACGTGACCTGAAGGAGTGGGGCGGGGGCTAGACGCCCTCCCAGAAGGAGATCGAGTTTGACCAGAGGATCCTGAAGGGCGGGGGCGGGGGTGTGTGTACAGACGCAGCCCTCCCATGGGTGGGTGGTGAGATTACCTGACGTAGGAAATACAGCGCTGATATGCCTTCAGGTATTTTCGGAGATTTCCCATGAGTTGCTCGATTCGGGGGGAATGGGAAGTGACTCTAAGATCGCAGAGACAACGTCCAACCTTGCTGCCTTCGTTGCCTTTGCCTGAGCGGGACGGAAGTGGTTCACACAGGCCCCCGGTTCAAGGGACTCATGCAGCTGCTACTAAGACTTCAACCCACAGCCTCGCTACAGCGTCTCCCCTAAACCCCAGGATCTGAGCCCCGACCCCGGCTCAACCCACGCTTCACTCTCCCCAAATATGTCCGTAATCACACCTGGACCCTGGTGTTCCCCAGCCCATCCCCAACCCCAGGCAGCTGGCCCTCCCCCTGCCCCGGCTGCCTTGGGGACCCTGGCTCCCCACTTACTCAAATCAACCCCGCGGCGCTAGCGCCTCCCTCCCATTTCCTTCCCCGGATTCGGGGATCCGAGCCCTTGACGAACCTGGAGAAGTGGGATAAGCTACAAACAGTAGGACCAAGAGGAACCGGGTTGCCCGGCCCAGCATCTCTGCCCGCCGCGTTCTGACTCCCCGACGTTCTCCGGAGCCGGACGACCAGCCGGTTTCTCAGTGGCTTTCGCTTCCTTCTCCCGCTTCGCCTGTGATTCCGCGGGACACGGCGGTGGTCGGCGCCGGGGCCCGGCCGGCTGAGGCAGGTCGTGAGGGGACAGCGCGTCCCTCCCGGCGTCCTCACCGTCTCAAATCGACAGTGGGGTCAGTACCGTCGCAACCGCGTGATCGCCGGCCTAGGGGCGGCGGGGAAACTCCGGGAGGTGGAGCACCCCTGCACCCAGCCTAGAGCCTCGTCGAAGGGGTAGCCAGGAAGCCCAGGGTGCACGGCTAGGCGCGGCTGGACCGCAGCACTGCCCCGCCCGCCGCAGGTCCGTCCCTGTGACCTGCTCCTTAGAGAGGCTTTCACGTTTTGACCCGGGTCCTCTCACGTGGCCGGAGTGACTGGCAGCACCAGTCCGCGCGCCCCGCGGCGCAGACACTGACCCGGGCGCCTCCGCGCTGCGCAAGACTTTGGGGCGTGGCCACCCGAGCAGCCGCCCGAGGGCTCGGGCAGCCTGACGTCACACCGCACCCCGAGGTATTTACCTTCGAAAAGTGGTGGCGGCTGCAGGTACCGGAGCAGTGGAGCGGCCGGGGCGGGGGCTAGGTGTACTGGGGTTCATCGCCAACCCTAACCCGGTCCAAGGCAAAGGGATGCCCTGCCTCTGATGCTCCTCCCACACCCCACAGACAGTCCAAAACTCTTCCCCATAGGATTAACTCTCTCCCACTTCGATCCTCAATTCAATTCAGCCCCTACCTTTGAGGGTTTGAACCTCAGATTTGGAGCCCCAAATACTGTCTCCCTCCTGACTACTCACTTATAACCCTAGTCACCCACTTTCAAGTCTGGCCCCGTTCTCATCTTGAACTTGCATCCTCAGCCCTGAAAACTCTTTTCTGGCTCCCAACATCCATCCATAGATACCACCCTAAGGGACCCCTCCAACCCACACCATCCCAGGTGCCTCTCCCTCACCATACATCCCTTCCTCTGCTCAGTCTGACCCAGGCCCTGTGCCCCTGAAGACATGGAGTTTGTGTCTGGATACCGGGATGAATTCCTTGATTTTGCTGCCCTCCTCTCTGGCTGGTTCCGCAAGTTCGTGGCAGAGCGCAGGGCTGTAGGGACCAGCCTTGAGGGTCGCTGGCGGCAGCTGGAGGCTCAGATCAGAAGGTTGCCCCAGGACCCGGCCCTTTGGGTGCTCCACGTCTTGCCCAACCGCAGTGTGGGCATCAGCCTGGGGCAAGGGGCAGAGCCAGGCCCTGGATCGGGCCTGGGGGCTGCCCGGCTGCTGGGAGATGAGCCCCCACTCCACCTGCGAGACCTAAGTCCCTATGTCAGCTTTGTCAGCCTGGAGGAAGGGGAGGAAGGAGAGGAGGAGGAGGAGGAAGAGGAACAAGAAGAGAATGGAGAGGAGGAGGGTGCAGGCACCAAAAAGGTAGAAACAGAGGAGGATGGGGAGCCGGCCCCTAGCAGCAGGGAGTCCCCCAAGGAAGCCACCCCTCCAGGGGAGCCAGAGGAGGCCGAGCAGGAGGCTGGAGGTGGCGAGGATGGCCAAGAGGACAGGGCAGAAGACGAACCAGGGCCTGAGAGGAGAAAGGGACGGAGAAGTGGTAAGAACCTAGGATGACCCTGCCATGCCCCCTGCCCAGCAGACCCCCGTTCTGAAGCCCTCCTCTGCCCCCTCAGAACACAGTTAGGAGTCACACATGGGTGGTCCTCAGGCCACTCTGGCCTGAAAAGATGTTTTCATTGATCCACATTTTTTTTTTAAGTCTCACCAACTTTAAACATTAAAAGAAAAAATAATTCCAGAAGTCAGGAGTTAACACCTCAAGAAAAATGTGAAGTTCCCACAGCACACCCCCACATTTCTGCTCGTTCTCTGCTGTCCCCTTCCAATGAGGCCTGCCCTCCTACCTAGTCCCCTCTCCTACCCCAGAAGTGTCTGATTTGGTACCCTGACCCTGACAATCTTCCCCCTCCACCCCCGGCTTTTCCTGTCTTCCACAGATGCTGCCCCCTTGCACCTTTCCTGCCTCCTACTGGTGACGGATGAACATGGCACCATCCTGGGCATTGACCTGCTGATGGAAGGAGCCCAGGGGAGCACAGGCAGGGGCTCAGGGCCTGAGAACCTGGCTCCTCGAGCCTATGCTCTCCTCTGCCACAGCATGGTCTGCCCCATGGGCTCTGGAGACCCCCGAAAGCCCCGACAGCTTACTGTGGGAAATGCCCAGCTGCATCGGTACAGAAAGCTGGTAGAGAGTGGGGAAGCCTAAGAGCCTGGGCTCCTGAGCCCCACTCCCAACCTGATGCCGTCTCCACCCCCATTCAGGGAGCTGGAGAATCTAGTCCCAAGGCTGGGAGTGAAGTTAGCCAAGACCCCGATGCGGACGTGGGGCCCCCGGCCAGGCTTCACCTTTGCCTCCCTCCGGGCTCGAACCTGCCATGTTTGTCATAGGCACAGCTTTGAGGTGAAACTGACACCCTGGTGAGCAACCTGCAAAGACAGAGAGGGGGAGGAAGGGCAGGCAAACAGAGAGAGAATGAGGAACAGAGAAACAAGAAGACGAAAAAATACCATGCCGTGATAGGCAAAGAGAGTACAAACAGACTGAGTGACATATGGGCAGCTGCAGGACAGATGGACAGCAGACAGGGGACCTACATACACTAACACGGGGTACCCCACCACCTCCTATGACCCCAGCCCACAGTGTGGTGCTGTCTTGTACTGTGGAGAGGCTTGTCTCCGTGCGGACTGGAAGCGATGCCCAGATGACGTAAGCCACCGATTTTGGTGCCCAAGGCTTGCTGCCTTCATGGAGAGGGCTGGAGAACTGGCAACCCTGCCTTTTACCTACACTGCAGGTATCATAAGGAGGTCAGAATGGATGGGGGAAGCGGAACCAGGTCTTTGGAACAAGGGTCCTGGGCTTGAAGGTTAAGTGCCTGTTATTTCAGAGTCTTGATCCCTGGAGTAACAGCTGAGAGCTGGGTATTTGGGGCTGGGAGCTAGACCCCTGGGGCTGGAGATAGCCTCTCTGGCTGGAGGACAGAGTGCCCAGGTCCCTGAGAGAACTTAGGGGATTCAGGTAGAGATACAAATACTTGCTTCTCAGCTTCACAAGCTGGCAACCTGAAACAAATCACTTTACTTCTTAGAGTTTTTCCTCACCAGTAAAACAGGCAGATTAGCAAATGTTAAAACCCGGAATTGTTATATGGCTTCTGTGGACTATGCTGTCCACTCAGGAATGTTAGTTCTCTGCCTGACTGGAAGCAGACTCGGGCCCAGGGTCTTGGGGAGAGGCTGCGGTGAGCCCAAGTCCAGAATCCTGGCCACCGGGCCCTCAACCCCTCCCTTCATCCTTCTCCAGAGGTGACCAGTGAAACCTTTAACAAGGAGGCCTTCCTGGCCTCCCGCGGCCTCACTCGTGGCTACTGGACCCAGCTCAGCATGCTGATTCCAGGCCCTGGTGCCCCCAGGCACCCAAGGGGCAGCACACCCTCCCTCAGCCTTCTTCTCCATGGTGCGTGGGGCCGCTCTCCAGGCATGAGTCCCTCAGACTAGAGGGCAGGAGGGGAGACCAAAAAGTTGTCCAGATCCTAGATAACCCCTCCACATACACACCAGATCCCCCCCGCCCCCAGCACCAGGGCACTGCCTGCCCCTTCCCAACCCTCAGAAAAGTCACCCCTGCCCACCCTCTCCAGAAGCCCCACCCCTAGGCAGTTCCCCAGCCCCCTGCTGCAGCTCCAGGTCCTCTCAGGGAACACAGCTCCTTTGGAAGAAGGAAGCAGCCAGGTGGGGATCTCCCTGACACCAGGCTCATCGTCTTTCATCCTCACAGGAGATCCTTACCAGCCTTTCCAGGGGTATGAGCCCGCCCTGATGCCTCCAGTGCCCCCAGATTCACCCAGGGGCCTCTTTGGTGAGCGGAGGGGCCCTGAGGGAGCTAGTGGTGGGGGTGCGATCTGGAGGGTCAGAGGTCTTGGGTGGCTGAGAAAGGAGGCTGTCAGACTGGAGGGGGCCTGAGGTCAGGTTCCCAATAGCCTACTCTCCCCAGGCTCGTGGCAGGATTACTACACGTGGCGGGGCCTCAGCTTGGACTCCCCCATGGCCGTGCTCCTCACCTACCCGCTGACTGTGTACTACGTCATCACCCACCTGGTGCCCCAGTCCTGTAAGGAGAGCCAAGGCAGGGGGGAGGACTGCGTGGAGCAGAGGGGCCAGGTGGCTGGCAGGGGACAGGAGGGAGGGGAGGAGAAGGCCATATTTTTAAGTGTCTAGCTTATCACCCAGTCCCTGAGCTCAACATCCAGAACAAACAGTCACTGAAAATCCACGTGGTGGAGGCTGGGAAGGAGTTTGACCTTGTCATGGTGTTTTGGGTAAGCCCCTCCAGGCCTGAAGAGTGGGCGTGTGGGTGTGGAGGTGGACACGGGGTGGGACCCAGATTCGTCCTCTTTGCCCTTCAGGAACTCTTGGTCTTGCTCCCCCATGTGGCCCTGGAGCTGCAGTTTGTGGGTGATGGCCTGCCCCCCGAAAGTGACCAGCAGCACTTTACCCTCCAGAGGGTGAGGGTTGAGTACCCCCTCCCCCTGCCCCTCACCCCAGTCTCCAGACTTGGTCCCCTTGCTGTCATCCTGGTTGGGCTGTGCCCTTCTGATCCCTGCGTTCTCTCCCCTGTTTTACCTGACACATCTTCCAGCACCATCACTTCCACTGGCTTCTCTTCCCCCTTCTGACTCTCCAGGATGGCCCTGAAGTATCTGTCCGCCCTGGTTCTGGCGTATCAGCACGGCTCAGCTCTGGGACTAAGGAGAAGGGGGTCCACAGAGACCTGCAGATCAAGGTGTCTGCAAGGCCCTACCACCTGCTCCAGGGGCCCAAGCCTGACTTGGTCATTGGTAAGAGCCGGGGGTGGGAGCGTGGAGGTGGGAGGAGGCCATGGAAGCTAGCTTCTCCCTGCTCTCCTTCCCTCCGCAGGCTTTAACTCTGGCTTTGGACTAAAGGACACTTGGCTGAGCTCGCTGCCCCGGTTACAGGTGGGTGATGGGGCAAACGAGACCTTCTCTCACCTGCCGCCTGGTCCCTTATTTTCTGAAAGTGTCTTCTTCCCCATCATCTGCTCCACAGACGTAGGGTGCACCCACGGGTCCTCCTGGACCCTGTGTCTGCCTCGTGCCTCTCCCCATCCCAGTCCTCTGGGTCCCCGGGAGGTATATGGGGGTGGGAGCTTTTCTGTGAGTGTCTGAGGCCCCGCTCCCACCCCAGTCCCTCCGAGTGCCGGCCTTCTTCACCGAGAGCAGCGAGTATGGCTGTGTGATGGACGATCAGACCATGGCGGTGGCCACAGGAGGGGGGACCAGCCCTCCACAGCCCAACCCTTTCCGCTCCCCCTTTCGCCTCAGAGCGGCAGACAATTGCATGCCCTGGTAAGGCCTTCGTACTCTCTGGCTGCTCATCCTGAAAAGCCCACCTCAACCCTCGTCTCTAGGGTCCTGGGGCCCTCCTGGCCCAGCCCTATCCCCTGCTTCCTCCGCCCTCACTCCTCACGACCCCCACTGGAGAGTCTCGACAACGCCCACACACCCCTCTTTAGAACCAGCTCACAAAATCTCTCTAACCCCTGGTCCTCTACCCACCAAAATATAGACCTGATTACACCCTGGCTGGCCCGCGGAGCCCTAAGCCTAGCACGCACCCCCCCCTCGGGAACGCAGAATTTAGAAGCCCCGACCCTTGGGGGTATCCCAGCCTCTTGGCCCCGCCCCTGATGGAGCCACGCCCCCTCAGGTACTGCAACGCTTTCATCTTCCACTTGGTCTACAAGCCCTCGCAGGGAAGCGGGGCCCGCCCGGCGCCAGGGCCGGTGATTCCGGCCCCAACTCCTACCGCCCCTCCCGCCCCCGCCCGTAGGCGCCGAGGAGAAAAGAAACCTGGGCGGGGGTCCCGCCGGCGCAGGTGAGGGCCGAGAGATAGCAGTCCACCCTCTTCCCCCGACACGCCTCAGAAAGGAACACGAAACAGGGGAGGCCGAGGGCGAGGCCGGTTGACGGAACACGAAAAGCTGAATAAAATTACTTGTTTGAAATCACTGAGTCAACGGCTCATCTTTGGGTCCTTAAATGGAGAGAGGAGAAAAAGGATTTAAGGACGACATTTTCCTCCAGCTTTCTTCAGTTCCTCGACCGCCATCCCCTCTCTCTTTGCTTGTGATTCTAACCTTCCTGGGTAATCCCGTGCGTGCGTGCGTGCTAAATCGCTTCAATCGTGTCATTGTAGCCCGCTAGGCTCCTCTGTCCATGGGATTCTCCAGGCAAAGATATTGGAGTGGGTTGCCATTTCCTTCTTCAGGGGATCTTCCCGACCCCAAACTTCTTCTAATGTGTGTTGATAAGACACTTCCCGGCCCCAGGAACAATCAGGGACCGGATCCAAGTCAAGAAACAGAAAGTGACTTCTCTGGGGGGAGTGGTGGGGGAGGGGGCGCGGGAGCAGGGGAGGCATACAACCTCCTTGGGGCCGCACAGCCTTGGTTTAGATTCAGTGAAAGCCCCAGGCCACCCACCTGTCCAGCTTAGAAACCTCTTGGCCATCCTTGACTCCACCTTCTCTCATCTTTCATGTCCCATAAGAACCAACTCAAGCTGAATGAGACTGCTAGTCACTCAACGTCCAGCAGTTTATGTCCAGTCCCACTGAAAAACGCCCCCTGTATCTCCTATTCCTTCCAAAACAGACATTCAAAACATTATTCTCTGCTTAAATCCCTTCAGTGACTTTCTTCTACTTTTTAAAATACCCATAAGCATAAGCTGGGCCTAAAGATGCTTGTCACAAAGTATAGAAATGGAAAAAATAGTGGAGAAACCTGGCAGACACCCTCTGAATCAACTGACAAAGATGTATGAGAAATAAGAAGTCATGCTGACATCATACTACCTGACCTGGTGCAATGACAAGGCCACAATCCCATCCCCTCTGTAGTATTTTCCCCCAAATCCATAACTTTAGACTAATCACAAGAACACATCAGGAAAAAAAAAATCCTGGGACAGTCTACAAAACACCTGACCACTATTTTCAAAAGTATAAGTCACAAAAAGCAAAGAAAAACCAAGAAAGACTAACAAATTGGTAGAGACTAAGGAGACATGACAATTAAATAGGTTATAGTATCCTGGATTGGATCTTGAATGGAAAAAAAAAAGAATGGGAAAACTGGAGAAATGTGAATAGTCTGCTATTTAGCTAGTGGTATTATATCAATGTTAACTTCTTAGTTTTGATAAACATATCATGGTCATAGAAGAAGTAACATTAAAGGAAGATGGATGAGGAGTATTTGGGAACACTCTAGTGTCTTTGCCAAAATCACTGCAGATGGTGACTACAGTCATGAAATTAAAAGACGCTTGTTCCTTGGAAGAAAAGCTATGACCAACCTAAACAGAATATTAAAAAGCAGAGACATTACTTTACCAACAAAGGTCCATTTAGTCAAAGCTATGGTTTTTCCCGTAGTCATGTATGGATGTGATAGTTGGACTATAAAGAAAGCTGAGCACAGAAGAATTGATGCTTTTGAACTGTGGTGTTGGAGAAGACTCTTGAGAGTCCCTTAGACTGCAAGGAGATCCAACCAGTCAATCCTAAAGGAAATCAGTCCTGAATATTCATTGGAAGGACTGATGCTGAAGCTGAAACTTCAATAGTTTGGCCACCTGATGCAAAAAAACCTACTCATTGGAAAAGACCCTGACACTGGGAAAGATTGAAGGCGGGAGGAGAAGGGGATGACAGAGGATGAGATGATTGGATGGCATCACTAATGCAATGGATGTGAGTTTGAGTAGGCTCAAAGTAGGGAGTTGGTGATGGACAGGGAACCCTGGCATGCTGCAGTCCACGGGGTCACAAAGAGTCAGACATGACTGAGTGACTGAACTACTGAGTGTCTTTGCAATCTACCTATAAATATAAAATTATTTCAAAATAAAATGTTTAGAAGATCAGACTCTTTAGTATGGCCTATAAAGTACCTCTCTTTCCATTATCCTCTTTTTTTCTAAATATTTTATTATCTAAGTTTCCAAATGCACAAAAACCCTGGAAGACTCGGCAGAATGAATCTCTATGTACCCATAACCCAACTTCGACAATCACCAGCATTTTTCAGTTTTATTATTATTCCTTGTGATGATGTGACAATATAACAAATATATATTTGGTCTGCATCCTCCATTCTTGGCAAGAGAGCCTCTATGACCTGAGTGATAGAGGTGAGAGGAGCCTCTTTTGTTATTTGCAATAAGCCCCTTACAACCATACCTGAGTTTATTCTAATAAGATGACTCTGGATGAGTATTTAGCTTCAGGATGGAGGTTAGATACCAGAGCAACCAACCACGTGAGTTATATCCTTTATAGTAAATCAGTAATAATTAGTATTATTACTAATTCTGAGTTCTGTGAGCAAAAATTACAAATGGAAATGGAATTTAGAGTTGGAGTCAAGCCCAGAAAGTTGTTTCACTAGAGGCATGTGTGTGTGTGTGTTAGTCACATAGCCTGTCCAACTCTTTGTGACCCCAAGGACTGGGGTTGCCAGGCTCTTCTGTCCATGGAATTCTCCAGGCAAGAACATTGTAGTGCATTGCCATTTCCTTCTCCAGAGATCTTCCTGACCCAGGAATCGAAGCTGGGTCTCCTGCACTGCAGGTGGATTCTTTACTGTTTGAGCCATCAGGGAAGAGCAGAAGGAAGCGCAAACCAAGAAGAAAAAAGATGTGAAGTATGCATCCCTTGGTGATTATTTGTAATAGCTATAATCAAACTTAAAAAAGAGTTCTGGTTTGGACTTTGATGCTAGACTAAGTTCAGATTTGGGTCAGCCTGAATTTTGGCCACTAGCCTTAAAGCTATCCTCTAAGTAAAAAATTAGGCTGGGACAACAGAATGTACCTCTAAGTCTCCTGGTCACCAAGAGAGTAGTTAGCATGCATGCTCATGCATGCTGATTCTTTGCAACCCCATGGACTGTAGCCTCTGTCCATGGGGTTTTCCAGGCAAGAATATTGGAGTGGGTTGCCACTTCCTCCTCCAGGGGATCTTCCCAACCCAGAGATCGAACCCCAAATCTCCTGCACTGGCAAGTGATTTCTTTGCCACTGAGCCACCTGGGAAGTTAGCATGGGTGGGGAGGGCAAAAACCAAGAAACTCCTGAAACCAGGAATATAGTCGTGAAGGAGTTAGCTGCTTCATTTTTCAGATTGGTATCATCAGCTTCCTGAAGGACCTTTACTAAAATGGATTGTGAGAGTGACTAATTTAAGGGCAACATCATTGGTAGTAAATGCTGCAGTGCAGAAGAGTATGTTTGGGTTGATACAGGACCCACAGGTCCCTGTTAAACAATCACAGATGGCTCTACACCATCCAGACACAGGAGGTTATTCCTGAGGAATAATCCTGAAGCTATCCAGTGAACCACTGAGTCACCTCATTAGCATAAACTCAGGTATAGTTAAAAGGGGTCTGTAATGAGTAACAGAAGACATTCCTCTCTATCACTGAGGAAAATTTCAAGGGGTTCATACAATTTTGAGCCAGAAATGTGGGGAAAAGGCCAAATATATATTTCTTTCTTTTTGGCTGTGATGGGTCTTTGTTGGGAAACTCAGGCTCAGTAGTTAACACAAGCAAATTTAGTTGCCCAGAGGGTTGTGGGATCATAGTTCCCTGACCAGGGATAGAATTTGAGTCCCCTGCATTGGAAAGTGGACCCTTAACCACTGGACCACCAAGGAAGTCCCCCAAACATATATTGTTTATATCAAAATATCACACACTCCCAGCTTTTTCCCAGAATGTTGTAAAACACCCGCAGACATCAGTTGCCTCACATGCATCCACAACGAATAAGGCCTTTTAAAAAGTGTAACCACCATGCCATTATCATACCCAGTAAAATTAACAATTATTCTTTAACATTTCATCATCATATCCAGTTCATATTCACATTTCTTCAATTGTCTCCAAGATGCCTTTTACAGTTGGTTTATTACAATCAAGAAATAAATAAGAGTGGCTTAGCAGTAAAGAATCCACCTGCCAATGCAGGAGGCATGGATTCAATCCTTGGTCCAGGAAGACCGCACATACCATGGAGCAACAAATCCCTCACACCACAACTATTGAGGCTGTGCTCTAGAGCTGGGAAACCTCAACTATTTAGCCCATATACTGCAACTACTGAAGCCCATGCTCTAGCGTCCTCTAGACACAGCAAGAGAAGCCACCACAATGAGAAGCCCGAGCTCTGCAATGAAGACCCAGCACATCCATAAATAAATAAATAAAAATTTTAAAACAAAGAAATAAAGAAGATCCACAGGTGGCTTGTGGTTGTGATGTCTCTTAAGTTTGGGTGTTTCGTTTTGTTTTTTTCCCCTATAACAAGCCTCCTTCCCTTTTTTTATGTTCACGCTGAGTCAATGAGTAACTAAACCATTTGTCCTGTAGAATGTTCCTCATTCTGGATCGGGCCAATTACTTCCTCTGGGAGGTTTTATTTTATTTTATTTTTAATCTGTGCATCTGAATTCTCTAGTTCCCAAAAACTGGCAGTTAGATCTAGATAAAAATGCTCTTTTACTGTGGTCCCTGCCAACTCCCAAAGGCTGATTTCATCCCACTTCCTGCCCCTATCTCTACCCTGGAGCCAGAAACTCTAAATGAAGACATTCCTCAGTGTGGAACTTCCCCATTTTCTCACACAACAAATTCCTTTACACTTAAAGGTCACTTCCTTAGAAGGCTAGCCTTCCTTGACCTCAGATGAGGGTAGACCCCCCTCCATAGCACCTTGTGTGTCTCCTAATGCCATAAAAGGGCAGCCTAGGTCCCTGATGGATTGAGGGGAAATAGAACTTTTTGTCACTCCCTTTGCCAGAAAAATAATCCCTCGTTAAATTCCTGTGCTCTCCTACATAGAATTACCAAAGCATATTGTTATCTCCAAGTGGTAGAATTACTAAGGGTTTGTTTACTATTTCGTTTTGCTGTCCTGCTCATTTTTCTTGCATGAA